GTGTGTGTGTTTAAATTTGCTCATCTCTGCTAGGTCTTGTATCTCAAGGCATTTTCATATAAACATGTAATCTCCTCATTGAATCATCTGCACAATATATAGAGCCGTTTAAAAGCCAAGGGAAAGGGAAACAAACAAACAAACAAGCAAACAAACAGAATGCTATGTTTAGGTGAATTTAAGTTTCTTCAGCTAACTAAGCGTTGCAATGGAATTAGAGATGCAGCTTAGAAGAAATGGATTGCATGAAAGTTACTTTTTTCAAACAATAACTCTCAGAATCCAGCAGTAGGCATGGTCATTGGATGAGGATTCAAGAGATAGTAGTCCAAGTGGTAATATTTCCAAGCTCAGGAGAAAGGTAACTGGGTATTTATGACATGGAGTGTTGGAAAGCAGAGGCTGGTAACTTCTTCCAGCCCCTCAATTTCTACTTGACACTTAATGTTCTGATGTGTATCTTCAGAAGTGGGGAAAAGCTTATTTTTTAAAACAAAAACATTTTCCCTAGACTTTATATCAACTGCTTGCCATAGTGATGATCCCATATTATTAATCAACTATGAAAGATTTTGTCCAATTACCTACGATCATTTCAAACTTAATAAAACCTACAGAAGTCTCCAGGGTTCTAATGCAATGGTTCACAACCTTTTCAAAATTTAGTTCATTGCAGCATGAGAATGACTTCCCTTGGGGTCAACTTTTTGAGACACTCTCAGAAGGGTTGATTCTCTGCTCATGAACCATGACCAATGATAGGCTCTGTCCTAAATATCTTCCCTGCCCAAAAAGCTTAAGGCATGGGACTGGTCCAAGAAGTTTCTGCAACAGCCAGTACAATCCCAGTTTGATGAAGAAAGAGCAACCTCTGTAAACAGAGGGTAGGTGTAAAAAGGCCTTTTTCTTTCCAAGATCCACTTTGCTTCATTCAAACATAGTACTCCTGTTTAATATCCAAGTTCCATAAGCTTTTGCTCAATGCTTGATTCGTTCATTACACAAATTTGCTAAGCTTTACATAATATGCCAGCTGAATAGAAAAAAACCAACCAACCACATTTCTACAATTATAACGTGGTGCAACGCAAATTCATTTACAGTATGTTTTCTTGAACATTAGAAACGAAGGCTTTATTTTATATATTCTGTACTCCTCATGTCTGGATACCAGCATGGAAAATCTAGTTGTCTCCCTGTTTATCCTTTTTCAAAAACTATTTTTATTCATTTACTTGATTTCTATTTCCCTTTTCTCTAAAAAATAAAAAAAGGGGGGGGGCAAGGTGGTTTTTCAGTAGACCTACAGAGATGCTGTTTTATTTGTCTTTTTATAAGGTTATACGTCTTCAAATATGACATTAAGGAACATCATGGAACACTCTGCCTTGTCATATTTGTATTTGATTTGTAATCAATTGCAGAATTGTGTGTATTGTATGACATTTAGACTAGAGTAGCCCTCATTCAAATCACTACTGAAGAGTAAACAAGATCTTCAGCACATCATTATTTCTTAAGCTATCTTTCTGGCAGGGTTGCTATAAGGGGAAAATGAGAAAAAGAACCATCCTGAGATGGTTAAAGAAATGGGAAATATAAATGAAATATATAAATACATTGATGTGGATTGTTGACAGGTTTTGTTTTGTTTTTTAATTGGCTGGACTGACACCCAATTTTTAGGAGCTTATATTTCCAGATTTTCCTGCTACTATTTAAAGGACACAATGCTTAATTAACTGTCGGTTCGAATAATCCTCTGCACAGAGAGTTCAGAACCCGTGTCTCAAACAGCAACAGTTTGATTAGGATACTTGAAGTTTTAGTTCATATTTAAATTATACAAGCCATTACGGATATTTTACCTAAAGGAGAAAATCCCGAATTCTGACATAGGCTCCAATTATTGTTTGTTTTCAACCCCAAGTCTCCCTCTCGCTTTTAAAAGACAGAATTGTTATTTATATTCATAGCACACTGTTCTGTAGCTTACCGAGTTTACTGCAACATGGCTGACAAGAGCTATAAGCAAATGTCTAGGTTTGTTCTTGCAAAGAGCAGACTATGGTGCATTTCAGAGTGCCAACCCATCTTTAACGTTCAGCGTTCACCAGGCATAGTTACAAATTGCATCCGTATACAACTTGCCTCAAGGAAGGAAAATGCTCAAAATTTTCCTTTGCTCTTCGCTTCAGTCCATGTGACATTTCCAATCTGGACATCAATAAACAGTAATGATGCATGCAGAAGAAGAAATCAAACTAGACATATCCCTCAAGTAAGAGAGAGGTAATAGCATTATTTAAAAAAAAAAAAGACAAGAAAACTCACACTAGGGATCTTTTTTGTTGTGCCATCTTTAACGGAGGTTCCATTCAGCTGTTCAATAAAACTGTAATGTGCTAATTGTTCAGGCCCATCCTGTTCAAAATGGCCACAGAGGCTGTGCTGGTATAAATCCAGGATTGACATGGGCCTCCCCGTAAACGACTTCCTCACACTATTTTCTTCTTGCTCAGCTAAGGACAGATTAAAAGAAGAAGAAGAAGAAGCCACGCGCACACACAACTCTTATTTGAAAGAAAATCAATATACAGCTTGGCATGCCGTGTATTTTTTTTGCGACCAAAACGATGCAAGACAATTGGAAACACAGAGGACTAAGGATATAACATACTCTCAGGGAGGAGGAAAGCCCCAACCTTCTAATGTTAAACTCACAAAGTGAGGTGATTGTGGCTTACATTTCAAGCAATGTTTCATGCTTAAAAGAAAGAAAGAAGGAATGGAATGGAATGGAATGAAAAAGAAAAGAAGAAAATTAGGAGATAAGCACTCCTAGTTTCAACTCTGGCTAATTTCCTTGGCTGAAATGAAATTTCTAATTTTACTTTAATTTAGAGTTCTGAATATTAGTTTAACTTAAATAGATACCTTAATCATATTGGCTCATCTGCCCTACATATTCTCAACACATGTCTAGCTTCCAGTTTTAACCACTCTTTTCTTCCTGCTAATTACATTTTTATTTTGTCATCTTGCTAATCTTAAATCCTTAAATGGGAGGTACAGAGGCTGACTGATGAGTTTCCATATTTTTACGGCCACCATGGATTTCATATTCTCTGTTAATAATGCACATTTCTCACACATTATTTTGGTCCCAAAACTGGAAAATATAGTAACCCAGTTTTTACATTTTAAACATGAAATTTAATAACAAATGAGAATTTTTTAAAATTTACATAACTATATATTTATCAGGATTTTAGTTCTCCTAATTATGCAACCTCCCATCTTCTGTTAAATCATAGCCTTAATTCTGAAACTGGATTTTTGACAACAAGCAAAATCTGGCCAAAACTAAGCTGATACGTAGTATAATTCTAACCATACTGAATAAACTAACTACCACTGAGTTCTACACATCTTGCTGGCATGTGTGCTTCATACAATATTACAGCATTATGTGCACCATGTCTTCCTCAAAGATGCAACAGGCTGTCAAAGAATAAGAAAGGATGCAGTAGCATAGGCTAGGGTGATATGTACCTTTCCAGATGTTGTTTAACTACATCATTCTGGACCAATGGCCATGCTGGCTTGGGATGATGGGAAATGAATCCTGCATCTGGATGACCACCAGTTCCCCACTGCTGGTATAGACCGGCCAGAGACATGAGAGCCCCTCATCATCAATCTGACTCAGAGATCATGTTTGGCTGTGTGATCTGGAGTAGGCAAAGAATAACCCTCTGGATGTTTTTGAGATGCAACTTCCATCAGCACAGCCAATGAGGAGGAATGCTGGGAGCTATCAACCAACAACATTTGAAGGGCCTTCTTGCAGTCTCTCAGCAAGTGTACTTCCTTTCCATGCCTCTGCTACACCCAGTAAACCCTACATTTACTCCAGGAAAGCCCCTTCCCCATCCAACAAACAAGCAGGGTGCCACAACACCTCTGCCACCAGCACTGTTCTCTCTCCCCCTCTGCAGATCCTCAATTTCAGCCATCAAAGAAGAAAAAGAGATGTGATATTTGTGTGTTTGTATGTTAGTTTCCTTTCCTTTTTCTCAGGCTTGGCTGCTTTCCCCAGCTTTTAATGGCACAGACTAGCAGCTGAGCTACAAAGAGAAAGGAAACAAAATAGCCTGGCAGCATAATTTTTGACTTCTGCTCTGATTGATGGAAGAAAACTGAGGGGCTGCTGGAAAGGTGAGTAACCAGCGGCAGCAACAGAAGTCTTTATGCTTCCAGTGAATACACAGCAAGGCAACATAAGCTTCAACTGAAAGCTTGAAGGAACTGCGCAGAAAGATTTGATGTAGTTGGCATGAGAGATGCTTACAAAATTCTCCCTATCCAAACATATCCTTCCTCAGTTTGTTTATAGAACAATATTGATGAGTGACATTTAATGAAGTGGATAGGACCCCTGAAAGCTTATGTCATCATTGGCTAGATGTTAAGATTCTACAAGGTAGTATAGGCTTAACCTATGGTTTGAAAATTCACCATTCTTCACTGTTTTCCGTATTTTTTCCTGGACTCAGTGTCCACATCCAGTTGGCTGCAGTGTTCAATTATGATCCTTTTTCTCAGCTGTAAGTTACCAATATGTCTGTATGAACACTGATTAAATCACAGCACCAGAAACAAATATTGCTAGACTCTCAATCATGTCAACATTCTTTTTGCACTGTGATGCAATTTAACAGACACATGGGCATCAATGCAATCATATAGAGACTTTCCATGTGGCATCATGTAAAGGACCTATTGTCTTTGTATGTGGCATTCTCATTCAGGAACATATGCAGCTTCACACATTAATAACCTCTACATCAGGTTGGTAAACAGAAGACAATGGCTTAAGGCACACATTCCAGTTGTGAAATCAATTTTAAATCTGGAAGAAGGAACAGAGCCACTCCATAGAACAGAACATATGTTTCTTCATCCCTAATTAGCATTTTCATTCAGAAGGAGCATCTTTGCCCTTCGAATCACCCTGAAAGTGCTTGGGTGTTTTTGAATGTTTGACTGGAAGATCTGAGAAGGCCTGAGAAGTACCCTCTGCCATTGCTGCCAGATCTCCCCCCCCCACACCCCGTTCGTTTGCAAAGAAGGAAAACCTGAACTTGGGAAAGGGGAATTGAGGAGCGGGGAAAAGAACACTACCCCAGATTTTTGTAAGATCATTTTCTTCTCCAAAATCACTCAGAATTGAGTACAAAGCCTATCCTTAACTCTTTGAGGGAAGCATCCAGTAAATCCTCTTCCTCTTTTCCCTACTACAGTGTTTGGGTTTTAAAAGATTTGTTAAGAGGGAAAATGAAGTAGGAAGTACAAGGGGTGCAAGCCAGCTTGTAGGCCTTTGCACCTCTCTTGACCAATGGCTCTCCTTTAGCTGCACTGCAAAATAAACATTAAAAGCAAGGACAGGCAACCTGCAGATCTTCAAATGTCTGCCAATATCCATAAGCCCCAGCCAGGATAATCAGAAATCAAGGATGGTGAGAATGCCAACCTGAGTGTATCTAGAGGACCACAGGTTACCCATCACTGACTGAAAGGCTCAGATTGTTTTATAGCTTCTGATGTATGTATATACAAGGACTTGTGAAAAACAGAGATTGGTTAAGACTAATCTGCTCTGTTGATTTGAAGGTGTCACAATATCATTTCCAAGAGGCATAACGATCAGTCCAGAGGTCTCAGATATAGATTGTATTTCTACCATGCATTATTTAAGTATATTTAGTCAAGGCACTTTCTGTTAGATAGCCAGTCTATCTGAAACATGGGGATGATAACACTGGCCTGGCTGGTAGGATTATTGAAGAAAGCAGGAGGAGACACTACATATAAAGCACTCTAAGTGTTCAAAAGCACTATGTATATTATTCGTATTCTTCTTATTACATGGCTTCTGGCAGCCACCTCACAAAAACAAAGGTATTGTGAAGGGGAAAGGCCTTAATGGAAGGGGCATTGAATACAGGCACGGATCCAGCTTTGCAGCTGGTGATTAGCCACAAGCAAATCCTGGCGATAACCACTTAGGACTGCTGCAAATATGTTCTTATTTCTCTAATAAAAATTTAATTTCTACTACACATCAGAATATTGATCCTGGAAACATTTCATAAGTTCTTAATTAAGTCACTGAAGAATTTATAAAATGGAGTGTTTTATCTAATTGTAAGGTAAAGCAATTACTCCTGATTTCCCCCCATCTCAAAACAAGTTTTCCTAGGCTCAAATCCACTTGCCATTTGCAGCAGAGTTTGCAATTTCTATATCAATGAAATCTCATGTATATGTATATATGTGAGTATCTCTCTTTTCCTCCCTCCCTCCCTCGTCTGTGGAACATGGAAGCATTACATTCTTGGCCTACAACTACCAGATCCCCTGGTCAGTGACTATGTTGGTTGGGATTCAGAGAATTGTAGGTCCAAACAGTAAATTTTCCAACTTCTGCTCCTTGGGTTAATCAGAGACCTGGGGTTTGCAATTAATCTTCTTAGGTTGGTCAAAGGCCTTCTCAATTTAGTGGTACTTAAGCAGTTTTCAAGAGCCAAGCAACCTTTCTTCCACCCAAGAGCATTGGAGTCTAATTTGAGAGCCACTCAATGTTATTAATAATAATGTGATACAGTGACCGGATGAAAATGGCCCATGAATTCTGCTGTTCGATTGCTCTATGTGAACCACTCCTAGCTTAGAGTCAAAATTCCACTATGAGAAAGCGACGGTGAGTAGAACATTATTTCTTACCACAAGACATAGTTCAACGATCTTTGTCATGATGCCTGAGGTACAGAACATGTTGCCTCTGGCTTTTATACTTAAGGGTCAATTCTCATATTCGGAGAAGTATGATTAAGTGGTAATTGCTATTCATGCTGAAGTGACAAGTGACTTTTAGTCTTGCTGACCAAGACTTCCCCTGAGGTGCACAACAATGTGAAATGCCATGGTCTACTATAGCTGTGTGTGTATGCTTCACTTGATTAGTGGCCATGAAACCTATGTGAGCTCCAGACATCACAGAGAAAGACCTGGTCTGAAGGGTCAGCTGAACACCTAGATGTCTTAAGTGCTCTTTAAATCTCAGATTAGGGGCAGCCATCATGATTACTTGCTTTATTACTTGCAGAAATGTTTCCCAGCCATGCTTCTAGATGAATTACATGAGTTACACCTGGATATTCAAGCATGTAAATTACTGTCTAAAAATAGGAAAATGACACAATCAGTTAACTATATTGAGTATTGGATCATAATTCACCCTTTGCTCTGAGTACAAGTGCTTTATTTTAAGATAGGCTTTGCAATTTGAAATAATAATAAATAAAAATTATAAGTCTGTCACTCTCACTGACAAAGTCTTAGAAGAGGGAAAATCCACCATAATATCACATTGGGATTTGGGCTTCCTACATGAACTATTTGGAGAAACAGATATGGCCTATCTGGGAGGGCAGAAAGGCTGTCTGACACAGACAGCTTCAAGGATAGCAGTGTGAGCACTGCCATACTAATATGGAGGTGGTGAAACTTTATTCATGGCTCATTGGGTTATTTTAAACTAGCAAAGTATGCAGTTTTATAGAGATCGCTATCTAACTGTTATATTGAAACAACAGTGCCGCTGAAGACATTTTCAGTTTTACAGTACAAATCTATGACCCAAAATAAAATAAAATAAATGCCGGTTTGTCTTCTGGTGGCAAACACAGTGTTAACAGGCAAAACCTGATGTACACTTACAATAAAAGGACATAATGTAAAATTAGATCGTAAAAAAACGATGAAGAAACAATATAGAAGCAAGCAAACCGCAGGCATCAGTTGGCATAACAGGGGTGGGATTTTAGAAACCACACTGAATAAACGTTTAATTACCTTGTTTGTTGTTCATTAAATCAACGAGTTTTTCCCCTCTGGTTCCAAAATCACTTGTTTCATATTCCAGCTCTGTTTCAGTGTCACTGCTACTACTAGCAGAATAAGTGCATACTCTCAGTGCCCTGTCCTGTGCAAAGCAACACAACAGACAAATTCATAATTCACAAAAGCAAACATTTCACTGAAGGCAAAGAATCTGGAGTGCGGTACAGGAGAAAAGCCACTTGTCCTCTCCCAGCCTGACCTATTTATTTAACAGCCTCAATTTGACATTGATTATGCAATTAAATGTCACAAATCTTTGAAAACAGATTTCATCCTCCAGGTAGCATTGTCCTAGGCAGGCTCTAAGTGCCAATCCCTGTTCTCAAGAAATTCTGAGTATGGTCAGATTCTTCTCAACTTTATTTCACAACAAAGCATTTCAGTGTAAGTGAACCAACAGCAGTGACAAATAGAATTCAGATTAGTACATCTATCTGCCATTGCACTTCAGAGAGGAACTGGTTGTTATCTTGCAAAATTCGTATTCCCAAACCAATGGCTCTGGAGATAACAGGAGTATGAAGACAGAAAGATACTTGCAAGTGAATGTCAATGGGTAAAAATAAGGTGTGTTCAAGGAAGGAAACTCAGTGAACAACAACAACGACAATAATAATAATCCTGGTGGACATTTTTACCATTTGGACATTTTCGTGCTGACCTAGAGTCAGAATTTTCTGGTATGGATCAAGTGTTGTCACTAAACATTTTATGAGCTGTGGTTTGTTGTGGATCTTGTTGAAGAACTACAACTTCAAGAATGGGCCACTGTCACATGAGCAGTGGCTCGGCTCACACCGTTGGCTCTCTGGGTTGTAGTGGAATAGGTCTCACACTCCTATCCCACCACAGTCTTGTAGTGCCCTCTTGTCTGAAAGTAAGGCATAGGTATGCAATTCAGAGGGCAGAAAATTTCAGTTGTTCCACTGGTTTCATTTAGAACTAGCTATCACAGCCAAACAGAAGAGACAACATGAATTGATAGTGTTCAGAAGGGCCATCTGCAGTCACTTTCTGAGAGAAATAGAGGAATCAGTGCTGCTTTTGCAAGTCCCTGTAAGGACGGGATGGCTGAATAAATAAATGGTCATGGTAAAATAATCAGTACATACTCTTTGTTAGTTATTTAGCCAACAAAAGGAATTTAAAGAAGTCATGAGAAATTATAAGATGAAAGTACAAATGTACTGACAAGAAGATTGAACGAGTAGGCTTAGGTAAGAATGAAGGAACTCAATGGGTCAGTTAGAATGACCACAGGGAGGTTAGGAAAAGGGAACATATACCAAATAAGGATAAGAGTCTGGGGTCTAGGTAAAGAGGGGAGTGGGAGATGTAAATACAGGCGGGACTTCCTGTGATCAGTTTAGGCGCATCGGATAGGCTGTACACCTTGGAGTACCTAACCAATGGGGAAACAAGGGTGGGACCATGCGGCCGGGAATAGGGGATAAATATCATGCTACCTGTATTCATGTGTGTGCCTACCCAGCTAGGACACCTGCTTTTGCAAAAGTGCTTTTAATAAAAGAGTGCTGCTTGTATTCATTGCTGTCTGGTTACTGTTTTTAAATAACAAGAATGCCTTCAGAATCATGTTTGGGCAGTGCTCTGGCTCTGTTCTACTAGTACAAAATATCTGGTTGTAACCTATTTCTTTCATCCCACATGAGAACACCTATCATAGCGTTATTATACTCTGTATCAGACTTCCTCCAGATACTATAAACTGGAACTCCCATTACCCCTAACCACTGATGTTGTGTTTGGAGACAATATCAGTTGTAGTGTGAAGCTGGGAAGGCTGAATAAGTGGAACATGTGGAATGTCTCCCAATGGTGTTTTTGCTTTTTCTTTACTGTAGCCTTAAGGGACTCTGCATTTTGTCAAAACAATACCTATAGGATAATGCCCTTGGCTATTTTTCTAAGAAAGTAAGATAAATAATATGTGATTCATTTACATCTTCCCTTATACGGTATAGAGAAAAGTAGTATTGACAAAGGTCATTTTAAAGGGAAAATCATGCATGGGGAATAAAGAATTAAACGCTGAACTGCTTCTCTGATCAAATCTGGAGCATCTTGATAATAATTAACAACAACACACGCATGCACATGCACACGCACATGCGCACACACAGAGGAGATACGTGTGTAATTTCCATATCTCAGATTTACTTGATCTGAGTTTTTCAGAAAATTCAAAATGAGACTTCTAAGAAAGTAAGATAACATATTCCCTTATACGGTATAGAGAAAAGTAGTATTGACAAAGGTCATTTTAAAGGGAAAATCATGCATGGGGAATAAAGAATTAAACGCTGAACTGCTTCTCTGATCAAATCTGGAGCATCTTGATAATAATTAACAACAACACACGCATGCACATGCACACGCACACGCGCACACACAGAGGAGATACGTGTGCAATTTCCATATCTCAGATTTACTTGATCTGAGTTTTTCAGAAAATTCAAAATGAGACACAGGATATGGTAGTGATTAATAAAAAAGACAGTGTGAAGTAAACAATTGTATAATATGAAAGGCAAAATGAAGCAAGATTTTGATACGTTCAAGGATACAGATGGGGAAGCAAGTAATAATCTTGGCAAATGGTTAGTCATTATGTTACAGATTCCACCTCTGTAAGTTATTGGGCTGCATTTGCATGTCACGCTACACCATGGTTTACACTGGTAATTGTTATTACTTTAGTTATGAATCGTCTCATAGACAACAAAACAGATCAGCTTGTTTCCCCATTTCTGATCTCCCCTTATACTAGTTTCTTTTTCAGAACAGGCAACAACAGAAAGAAGACAGGGACATTTAATTTGGGGGTACAGATATGCTATGGCTTAAACACACGAAAATTGGAAGCCCAGCAACAAATCATGGTTTCTAACTGTGGTTTGTGGCTGCCTAACAAAACCATGGTTTGTTTTCAGGTATAGATTCAAACACAACAATATTAGTATTCAACAACCTATTAAAATTGATTACTATTACATCCAAACGTGGCTATTTCAGGACTAATAAAACCAATTACACTTGTTTGTAAAGACTGTAAGCTAAAGAAAAGGCATGTAAAATGTATTATCTGTGACAAGGCACATATGTTGTCAGATGGTAGATTGCAACTGAGTACAAGGTTGTTTTTGTTAGGTGGTTAAACTACTATTACACAAGCTACGTAATAACTTGGTTGCTTAATTGTTCTTCTCAGTATCAAGGAGCCATACCAAGTAATAGGAAGAGCAGGATTAAAATTTCTGTTTGGTGTAAATTTCCCTGGGTGGCTTTGGACCAGTCATACTCTTATGAATACATGAAAAGAAAACGATGCTGCCTTAAATTAAGGCAGACATTGGTTCACTGTCTCAGTATCAGAGCTTGGAATAAATTACTTTTCTTCCAGTTCTGCTGGGTAAGGGATCCAATAATAACTTTCCCAACCTCTGCTACAAATTCTCCTCTGCTGATGGCTCTCTGGGATTTTCAACAGGCGCTTTCCCTAACTTTACCTAGGATTCTAGCAGTTGACCTGGGACCCTGTGCACAGAAAATATGTTTCCTCACTGAAATATGGCTCTTATCGGTGTAACCTACTTCAGAGACATCTTATGAAGATCACATGGGGCAATAAGCCTTCTTTACAATGGCAGCACTTCTTGTGGGAAAGACGGGATGTAAATGTAAGAAATATACAACTAACTTATTTCCCATTTCTCTTGTTTTCAATTGTACCTTTGCTTTAATAGCTTTTTTACTGTTCCAATCAGGAAAGATCTTGGCGGCATCTCTTTCTTTCTTTGAATATTCTAGTGATGCAGAAGTCACAGAATTCTGCTCCTGTCTGCATTTCTTTACAGGGCTCGTTACTCCTGGAGAATGGATAGAAGGGGGGGAATTAAATATCAGTGAGTGACAACCATGGTTTTGTTCGATTTTAACGTGAGAGTCAGTAGCTTTCACTTATTCATGCTCAATACACTGTACTTCTACGAAAGACAGTTTTACATTATTACCAAGTAGAAGGAGAAAAGCCAAAAGTTGGGTAGAGGAAACAACAAGGAGAAGAAAGAAAACGAAATACTTGGAAAGTAGTGATATGAACAGAGCACATGAGATATCCTCTAAACCAGTGGTCCCCAACCTTGGGCCTCCAGATGTTCTTGGACTTCATCTCCCAGAAATCCTGGCCAGCAGAGGTGGTAGTGAGGGCTTCTGGGAATTGTAGTCCAAGAACATCTGGAGGCCCAAGGTTGGGGACCAGTGCTCTAAACCACATTACTAAATATCAGAGAGCATACTTCAGAAACCCTGTAAAGTTGACTCATACAGACACCCCCTGCCCCACCACACATAATTTACAACAGTGTTTCCCAACCTGGCAGCTGTGACTCCCAACCTGCTGGTCGTGACTCCTAAGGAGGTTGCAAAATGTTTTCTGGAAAGCCGTGGGTCGCCTTCTATGTGTTGAAGCCCTTGTCAAATAATTTATTCCTTAACCTTTGGGAGTGAGATATTAAAATTGGTGTGTATGTGTATGTACATATGAGAAACAGGCCCTTTGGGAGAGAAAGAAACCTCTGCTTTCTGAGAAGGGAATACCAAGACTATTTTTTACAAAAAGAAAAAGAAATACCAGCCTAAAGATATAATTGTTGCCGCTTCCACAAGAAAGGGATTTTGATTATGATGTGTTACTTCCAGAGAGCCTAAAAGAATATGAGGTAAGGGGGGGGGAGACCTCTCCTCACACAATGCACCCCCAGGAGAGGGACATAAAAACAAATGGCCCCCCTCTTCTGCAGTGGGTGGAAGGAAAGCTTTGTGCCGGTTTCTGAGGGGGATCTTTTCTGCACGAAGGCCTTGCCCCCTCCCTGGGTACTGCCATGTTCTTCCTCCCCTGGCCCATCTTTGCAGTCCTTTGGCTTGTCTTCCCTCTAGCTTTAACATCCCCCCCCCCCTTGAAGTGGTGGTGGAGAAGTTGGCGGCAGGCGCAGTAGAAGTGCAAGCAGCAGCAGAAACAGTGCATGTCAAGGAACAATGACTGCTTGTTTATGCAAATGTGAATGGGAGGTCACAGGTTACTTGGCTACTATAAAAGAGACTCTCGACTCAAAAAAGGCTGGGAACCGCTGACCTACAATCATTTATTTAAGATACTGAGCCGTATTCCATATTATGAGTGAATCTATAGAAATTCCCAAATAGAATCTTATCATTTGGGGTTTGCACGCTAATGTCAGTGAGCCAAAGATCCAGAGCACTGTTTGTGCAGTCAGACAGCTGTTCTTTACACATCCTAACTTGTTATAACATCCCTTTGCTTCCGTGCTTTGAAGGGCTCCAAAACCCTTCTTTTAACTTCTATCAGTTCCTTCCAGTTGTGTTTGGGTGGCCCAAAGGGAAGGCAGAGATAGTCCTAGCTCTTCTAACTGAACGGAAAAGGGCAAGCTGTTGAAAATGGAGGCTTAAAAAAATTAGCATATCTCATCTTAGTCAAGTCATTTCTCCATGTTTGAATTAGCATCCTGAAGAACAAGAACATTTAAGTACAGTACTGTACGTTCACTATGTAAAGTTGCTTTGCAGGGTTCACTCTCTATGTATATGTCTCTGTACAGTATGTACTGTACATGCATGGAAAGGAAGGAAGGAAGGAAGATCTGATGATAAAAGCTGAGAGCGAAAAAAGATGACCTCCCAATCTTCTGTATACTACTTTTTTACATCCCTTCAGGATAATTTAATTAAGAAACAAACCCTAGAAGTCTGGTGCTGTGAATATTAGCATTAAGAACAGGACAATCTTACTGCTACCGACTTCTTATGAAGCAATTCAGTGCTTGCAGTTTCTATTCAATTTGTTATAATGACAGTGTTTAATCATGGAGTCTACTCTACAGCACAGTGCTGAATTGAGGTCACACATGTGGCTATCCAAGCATACAGCATATAATCTATAACTAAGATTTCTCTTCTGAATCTCCCTTAGTTGTGCTATTAATTAATAATACACTTATATATATATATTTTAAAAAGAATGTGATTTAAAAATATCTTTTCTTTAGCTTTGATTTGAAATGAGCAGGGGAGTTTTCAATGAAGCGTGCAATGTGTGCTAGCATTCCATTATAACAACAGCATTGGGAATATTGCTAAATCAACTAAATTCCAACATGTTTAATTAGAAGACTTCTCATAGACTCCCAAGAATCTCTAATGCAATCTAGTTACTTCACTACTTCATTTAAATACTGACGCACTAATAAAACATTATTTGGTAGTCTCACAGAAAAATTCTACCAAATCTCTATTTCTCCTATATGTGTGGCAGTAAGGGTGATTCTGCCATACAGTTATGCAGGCTAAATACATGAAGGTAGACTTTGACATACTTTTTCCTTGCCTTTATGAAGCACATTTGAAGTCTGTAATTATCTACCCATTCCTAAAAACTGCAGTGTGACAGTTCTGCCTTTTACTATGCTGGATATCTAGTGGGCATGGCCCATGATTCAATATGGCCAGGAACACAAGTTATAAGGCTATGTGGAGCTGCCACGACTACATTTATACAGATGACAAAACTAGGAACGTAGACTTGGTGGTTTTCAATCCAAGTACAAATGAGACTCAAGTATTCTTAGTTTCTAAAATCAAACAGAATTGATTTGTTAAGCTACTCATTTTACTTAGAAGTTTAAACACTCATCTGAGAAAAATAATTATGGGGATGTATTCTTTTTCCTAGCAAGAAAAGTCCATGGGGCATGGAAATGTAGCCTTCAATGTAGAATATGGAAGTTTAGCCTCCTGGATTCTGGCTCAATGGTTGAAATTCTCCACTATTTCTACTAATGAAGTAACTGTTCTGTTGTACAGACAAATATATTTAAGGATAACATTTCTAGAATGTCTTGTATTTGGATCTGGTCACAGACTAAAACTGCCTTTCCTTGGCCTTGACACTATCTGTGCCTACTTAGAGATGTGTTGTGTTGCACGGCAGTCTTTATAAAATGACAGATTAGTATTTTATGTAACAAGATTTTAACGTCAACACTGTCACTGCCTTGTTAACCTTGTACAGTAACTTTGAAGAGTCTGTTCGGTTGTAGATTTCACATGTCTTTTATCCAATGTCATTAATACAAGTTATCTACTAATGGGAACAGACAAGAGGGCAGAGTGAATCTAATTTCCAGCATAACTGTCATTTTACCTGCAGACACTGGTTTTGGCAGGCGACTCTGAAAAGTTAGTAATCCTTTAGCAGTCATAGTAGGATCAGAAGCTGAATGAGAAATTATATTCTCAACAGATTCCCGGTTCTTATTAGCTGTTGAAGGCACTTCTCGTTCAAGGGTTTTGGCTTTCTCAGAAGGTGCCTGAGAAAAAGCTTGCCCAGGTGATGTGAAAACTTGCATTTTTATATCCAGTTCTTGCTTAGAAGTGTGGCGTCCAGTTGAGCGGTTTCCTGAGTCAGGGAGAGGGAATGTTCCTATTCCACTGTCCAAGGTCCTCATTTGGCAGCAGGATTCTAGGATAGCAGAATACAATATAATTTGGTAAAGCTAAGAATGACTCTTAAAAACACCTCAAAGGACTTTTAAATTTTTTTTTTGAAGAAAGAAAGTGGCTACTCAGTCATAGAACATCTGTTCAGCACACTATTCCTGAGCTCTGTTTTCTGTGAATTTGTCCAGACTGTTGACCATTACTAAGTAGTTGATTCTATTCTTCAGCTATGTGCTTTATAAAGCAGGATTTCTATTCATGAGCCCAGAATCTTCACAATTAAACTAGATCACCCTACATTCTGATATTACTAATGTAGAAGGAAATATTTTCCCCACTTCTATCCTATTCACTGTGGACATGGTCATACATCTTTAACATAATAATAATTATTGCTGTCAAGTCAGTTCTGAGTTATGGTGACCCAGGGTTTTCTAGACAGAGGATACATAGAAGTGGTCTACCATTCTCTTCTTCTGCGGGTGCCTTGGGATTGCACAGCTTGCCCAAGGATGCACAGGCTGGCTCTCCCCAGAGGCACAGTGAGGAATTGAACTCGGAACCCTTTGGCTCCATAGCCAGATACCTAACTCACTGAGCTATCCAGCCAGCTCATCTTAATTATACTCCTGCCATTTTTTCCTAAGTGAAAGCTACAAATGCAAATTCTTTCCCAGAAGAATTTCTAACAGGGAAGCCCTTTGGTTGTGCCTTTCTGCACCCTTTCCAAATTGACAACATCTTTTTTGAGGGGCAGTGAGCAGACCTGTACATATTATTTCAAGCATAGTTACATTATAGATTTGTTTAAAAGTGTGATAATATGAAGTGTTTTTTTTTTCCCCAATGTGGAATTTGCTTTTTTCAAAACAGCCATAAGCTGAGGGTTTATGGCTCAATTGGAAAAAAAATATTACAAACAAAAAACGAAACAAACAGGGTTGCTTAAGGTTGGGTGGGGTCCGGTATACCATTTGGCGCAGTATTTGCATCCAAATGGCATACACACTTCAAACAACCTATTTGGTCTGCCTCCCTAAAACAACAAAAACAAAACACACACAAAAAAAATCTCCTTCCTTGCCATCTTCTCACTTCTGCTTTTAAGAGGAAGCTTTCAATTTTTCAATTTGTACTTAGTGTAGTGTATCATCATTGTCATAATAGCCTTTTTCTTTAAAAAAAATTAAAACAATCTTCCTTCTGCTGCCCCTCAAGGGAGGAGCAGAGGAAGCGCTTATTTTCCTATTATTGTGAAGTGGCTAAACTGTCTTCTTTAGCCACTTAAAAATATTGGGAAAAAGAAAGCAGAATGCAAATTTAAAGCCACAAGTTCAGATTTGAACTGCACATGCTGGAAATGAACCAACACACAACGATCCTACCCACACCAAAAATGTAGTAATTGCTGACAACAACACAGAAAGGTGTGGTAGGAATGCTACGGGGATGGGCTGGCTCACTCTAGCAATGATGTTGTCTGATAGTCAGAAAAAGGAGTGAAGGAGCCCATCCTACAGAGGACCAAACAGCAGGACAAATACCCATCTGATCACACTCTGAGTCAACATCATCACTGATTTTTCCACTGCCCCATAAACTCCCACTTCCTGTCGTGGTCAGTCAATTCAACCTCCTAAGTATATTACTGTATATATGTGATTAGAATTTGTTGTTCCAAAGTGAATCGCTACATTTGCTTTCACTAAACCATATTGACCATTCTAATGCCTACATCATCAATTCAAACAAATCCTTCTACAACTGTTTTGTTTCAGCCAGCACAAATAATTTGGTGCTATCAGTGAATCTGGATGCTTTGCAGCCTAGCTTTAATTCCATTTAAAAAACAGATGTTTTAAACAGATACACGGGAGAACCCATTATTAATTAGTAGTAAGCATTTCCCCATATTATCTATTTTCTTGCCACTTGCAAATCCATAAGTGGATTCCTTCACTTATACTATGCCTGTTCAGCGCTGGCACACTAAATATGGGAAAATCAAATAGTGTCTATCTGCACACAGTAGGCTCATCAGTCTGAAATATTTTGTACATAATATGTGGTGCGGCTGTGATAACTGTGTCTTCTTGAATATAATATAATATAATATATGTGAGACAACAACACGTGCTGTATTAGACTTAATAATTACCATAAAATTAATCAGAAGAAAAGTTTAATAGCTATCCTCACTCTGTGTGATTAAGACAGAAGCATTATAAAGACCCCACTCATAATCTTCTTAAGCAAAATGTTTAAGTATGCAGTAGATTCTAATTTAATCTGGAGTACATTGTACAGAACCTCAAAGAATAGCATAATTGGTAAGATTATACCTTCTACTGCTGTCATTGCCTTTTGTGTTTCTTAACGGAATTTAATAGTAATTTTTTGCTGTTATTATTTAGACTGTTCTTTGGATAAAGACATACTGTCTTAAATAGGATCACACTCACTCTTTCCAAAGAAGGCAACTCAGTATTACAGGGTTAGGCGCTACCAAGGTTTGTGATAAGTTTTTTTTAACCAGAATGCACCCTATTTGGGAATGTGTCAACTTGGGTTATGTGGGATTTGAGCAGGAAATATAGACCTTGTTACAAGGTTCCATTCTGTACATACTAATTCATTTCCGTACCACTAGCTTGTATTACAAATATATAAACTGGCTTACAAGTATCTCTGGGGTGAAAGGTTACACAGAATAAATCTCTGGGAAGAATATCAATTTAGTAATATGACCAGTCTGTTTCAAGACCACAGATATATATCTTTCAGGAGGAAACCTGAAAGAAATGAAACAAAAAAAAATGTAATATAAAGGTAAACCTACCTTTTAGCTACTATGTATACTTCAGAAGGAATCTACTTGAATTGTTACAAGTGTTCAGGTTTCAAAAATTCAAAGTAAGAAGCACTAGATAAGGATAACTACATATACGGTACTTGTCAATTACAGTTGACTGCCCTCTCAGCACCATTGACAATACACACATGCGTAAGAGTGTGTTGTACACATACACGTACACCATGCCATGGACAAACAGATCTCTAAGAGCAAAGGGTGTGCAAACCAGTAGTTGCGATTTGCCTTTACTTGAGTACCCTAAATCAGCTTAACTATTAAAAAGTCAGTTCTTCGCAAAGGCTGCTGCTTATATTATTCATAACACCTCTATCGGCTCCACTAAATCCAAGCATGCTTGTTACATGGTCCAATTTGCTAACACTGAACAGATGTGGAGATGGAAATTTAAAAATACAGGTTTGTGCTTCAACAGGAGTTTTATTATTGTTGTTGAATTTTGTTTTGACAGAACTTAACCCACAGGTTTGTGTGTTGTATGGTAAGATCCCAGACAAAGGTTGAAACCCAATGGTAAGCGCAACCAGAGTAGGCCCATTGAATCCGTGGGCATTTGGTAAGTCTTATGTACATCCCATTGATTCAATGGGCCTAACTCTAGTTGCAACTTGCTACTGGATTTCAACTGTATTATTACTATAATCTCTGAATCACTGAATGATTTCATGAACTCACTATGAATCAGTTCCTATGCTCACCTTACCTCATATGATGATGCAAGTGCTTATATTTTGCATCTTAAAATGGGTATTAGTGTTTTCCAATAAGATATGTCGCTTTTATACAGTCTAGCAAACAAACATTTCTCTTTCTTAACTACCCACATCATCATCTTCTAAAATAGTTTGGATACAGTACAATGGGAAAGCATTTCCGCTTGCACAGCATCACGGCAGCATCACGGCAGTCTTTTGACTGCCCTGTCCAGAGGGTCCCCTTGGCTCTCAAGAACAATTTATACATTTATTACAGAACTGCAATGTCTTCAGAAAGATAGAAAGCCAATGTGATGTGGTGGACAGAGTGAAAGACTGGAACTCAGGAGGCCTGGGTTCAAATCCCTGCTTGCCATAACTCACTGGTTATGGCAGCGGTAAAAAAAAAAGTCTCACTTCCCCTGAAAACTCTATTAGGATTGCTTTATCTTACTATCTTGATGGCACATAACCACAACCGTTTTCACTACCGGAAGCCAATGAAACATAGTTTTGTTTGAAAGCACTGGAGAAGACTTTGCACAGAAAGCAATTCAACTGTTCAATGGCAAAAGGAAGGAACAGGTATGAAGGAACTGACATTGTCACAGAAAGACAGAACACCCCACTACAAATAACACTTGCAATTTCCAATAAGGTTTATTTTCAATGTATGGAAATGTAAGCGGTCTCTTTTGCAATCTGGACAAATGGAGTGGTGTCAAAGTGCAAGGTTAAGACACATACATGCAAACATTCTATTCATGGTAACGGCTTTGTTTCCTCCTTCCCTACCCTGTACACACTTGTGATGATTCTCTGACTAACGGCAAAGAGTTCATGGCAAATTGCTTAATGTCAACAGAACTGCAATACTGTTCCATATCATCGACACACATTTAGGAGGTTTATGATTGTGTTGAAATCAGTAGCTTCTACTCTGGATGAAGGAGTCTGACCACTAGTTTGCTATGCACTGCGAGTTACTAGGCTCAGGACACTGACAAACAACTCTTCTTTCATCTACAATTGACCCTTTCCAACAGTTAAAGCAAAAGCAACTTGTGCTACCTATATACCACCCCACAGTGCTCAAAGCTCTCTCTGGGCTGTTTTCATTTGAATTATGCAGGCTACACATTGCCTCACCACCACAAGCTGGGTACTTAATTTACTGACTTCAAAAGGATGGAAATTTAAGCCAACCTTGAGCCAGCTATTTGGGCCAAGGATTGAACTCAGGTTATGAGCAGAGTTTTCACTGCAGTACTGCAGTTTAACCACGGTGCCACAAGGCTACCAATATCTATTGGAATTTTGTGGAGGGTAGCAAGGATGATCAGGAACTGGAAACTAAGCCCTGTGAGGAAAGACTGAAAGAAGTGATCATGTTTAGCCTTGAGATAAGAAGACTGACCATGATTTTATGACATGTTCAAACAGCTTCAATGACAA